AACAAAGAGACAAAAAAAAAAAAAAAAAAGAAAGAAAGAAAAAACAGAGATCTTAAGACTTTTTGTAGCAATAAGACACCAAATTCCAAATTACTTTAGTATAGCATCACATGACAGATTGCAGGGCCTGAAAGAAATTGAGGTATTTTACTCTAAAATATATTTCTTTGACATATTTTGAAATGGCCCTGCAAAGCTGTCTCTTGTGGGGAAAATCTACACTCTTTAGAGCACATCCCTTCTCCTTTCCAGGTCTTCTCCCTGATCCAGGAGAGAATTAACTGGGTCTGGAACCTTTTTAAGTCTGATAAGAAACATTTAAAATCTACTCTCTCTGAAGCCTGCTACCTGGTGGCTTCATCTGCAAAACAAGAACCTTGGTCTCCACAACCCCTTATAGGAATCCAGACACTCTCTTCTATGGATTCCATATCTTTATATAAACTTTTTCAATCAATTGCCAGTTGGAAAATCTTTGAATCCACCTATGACTTGGAAGCCCCCCAAACTCCTCCCCACCTCAAGTTGTCCCACCTTTCTGGATCGAACCAATGTACACCTAACATGTATTGATTGATGTCTGATGTCTGCCTAAAATGTATAAAACCAAGTTGTAGCCCAAAGACCCTGGGCACATGTCATCAGGCCCTCTCCTGTGTCACAGGCATGTCAATAACCTTGGCAAAATAAACTTCTAAATTGATTGAGACTCATCTGAGATACTTTTTGGTTTACATGCATTATCTCACATACTTACCATTTTTGTGGTGAGAACACTGCAAATCTCTTTCAGCAATTTTCAAGTACAGACAGTCTCCAACTTCCAATGGTTCAACTTGTGAGTTTTTGACTCTACAATGGTGCAAAGTAGAAACCATCCTTTGAGTGGCCACACAATCATTCTTGTTTTCACCTTCAATACAACAGTCAATAAATTACATGAGATAGTCAACATTTTATTATAAAATAGGTTTTGTGTTAGATGATTTTGCCCAACTGTAGGCTAATGTAAGTGTTCTGAGCATGTTTAAGGCAGATGAGACTAAGCTATGCTGGTCAGTAGGTTATACTTATTAAATGCATTTTGACTTACAATATTTTCAATTTATGATGGGTTTATCAAAATGTAACCTTATCATAAGTTGAGGCATATCTCTCTGCAATATATTGTCATTAACTATAGTTGCCACGATGTATAATAGATCTGTTGAACTTATTCCTCCCTTCTAACTAAAATTTTGTGTCTTCCGACCAACATCTCCCCAACCGCCCACAATCCTAGCCTCTGGCAACCACCATTTTATTCTGTTTCTACGAGTTTGACTTTTTTACCTTCCACATATAAGTGAGAAGATGCAGTATTTGTCTTTGTGCTTGGGTTATTTCATTTAGCCTAATGTCCTCCAGCTTCATCCAGGTTGTTGCAAATGACAGGATGTCCTTCTTTCTAATGGCTAAATAGTATTCTGTTGTGGGTATGTGCCACATTTGCTTTATCCAACCAGATGGACTCAGGTTCATTCCATATCTTGGCTACTGTGAACAGTGCTGCAATAAACATGGGGAGTGCAGATATCTCCTTGACATATTGATGCCATTTCCTTTGTTGATCATTACGTTTTCACACAGCATTCTCCCCATGCATCTCTGTTCTCTTATATACATGGCTAACTTGTCATAAGGACAGCAGTAGGATCCACCCTACTCTAGTACCACCTTACCTTAATTACATCCGCAACGACCCTAATTCCAAATAACATCACATTCACATGTACCACAGGGAGAACTCCAACATACCTTTTTTGAGAGGCACAGTTCAACCCATAACAGTAGATAATGTGTTTCATCAGTTCTTCTTCACACCTAATTTGGGTTATCCCACAAACAGAAAAGATGTTTGAAGGTTGAACAGCTAGAACAGGAATGTTCATAGCAGAAGCAGAAGAAAGTCCTTGGTTGGTCCACCCACACGGAGTATGTTTTAGCATGGCAGAGCAGTCATCATTATGTCATTCAACAAACAAATATTAAGAGTCTACTTTGATCCAGGAACCGGGCTGGGAACTGTAGATTCAGTAATAACTAAGACAAATGAGACACCCACCAAGGAGCTGACATTCTAGAGAGGGAAGCAAAAGAATTACAAACAGACAAGAGCTGTGAGGGGAGGAGGGAGTGAGCATAGCCCGGTGGTGTGAGACCTCAAACCAAGTAGTCAAAGAAGAGGTCTTTAAGAGATAATATTTGAGCAGAGACCCAAAACAAGAAAGGGAGTAAGCCATATAAAAATGCAGAATAAGAACATTTCAGAGGGGAAAGAACATTTCAGAGAGAGGAAAAACAAATGCAAAGACTATGAGATTAAACACGGATGGTGAGCACATCATGACGGATACTTTCATCTCTTTGGACAGAGATGTGGGAGACGGAAGGAAAGGTGGGATGGGACCAGAAGGTAAGAAACTGGAATTCTGCAGATTATGGTAAGGAACTTGGATGCCATTCTAAACTTGAGGTTCACTTCATTGAACCTACCCATGGGTTGTAAAGCCACAGTCTTCCTAACCTTTTTATTTTCTTGAGACAGGGTCTCACTCTGTCCCCCAGGCTGGAGTACAGTGGCACAATCAGGGCTTATTGCAGCCTCGACCTCCCTTGGCTCAGGTGATTCTCCTTCTTCAGCCTCCAGAGTAGCTGGAACCACAGGCACACACCATAATCCCCGGCTAATTTTTCTATTTTGTGCAGAGCCAAGGTTTACCATGTTACCGAGGTTGGTCTCAAACTCCTGGGCTTAAGCAATTCACCTGCCTCAGTCTCCCAAAGTGCTGGGATTACAGGTGTGAGCCACCACACCTGACCCTAACCTAACTATTAATACCCAAATTCACTAATGTGAAAAAGATTTTCCAAGGAAAAAGTGAGGAATGAGAAGTGAATGGAGAATGAAAGCTTGATGTACACGCTATTTCTCTTATTTTATTTTATTTTTGTTTTGTTTTGTTTTGAGACAGGATCTTGCTCTGTTACCCAGGCTGGAGTGCAGTGGTGCAATCATAGCTCACTGCAGCCTCCAACACCTGGGCTCAAGCAATCCTCCCACCCCCGCCTCTTGAGTAGCTCAGATTCCAGATATGCACCACCACACCCAGCTGTTTTTTGTTTTGTTTTGTTTTGTTCGTTTGTTGTTTTTTTAAGAAACAGGGTCTTGCTATGTTGCCCAGGCTAGCCTCAAACTCCTGGCTTCAAGCAATCCTCCTACCTCAGCCTCCCAAAGTGCTGGGATTGTAGGCATAAGCCACCATGCCTGACTTGGATTTCTTCAGAGTGAGCAAGTGAAAGTACAAGCAAGAGAGAGCAGAACAGAAGCCATGATCACTTTGTAACCTAATCTCAGAAGCGGCATCTATCACATTTGCCATAGCCTTTTGGTTACAAGTGAGTCATCAGGTCCAGCCTATACCCAAAGGATTACACAGGACATGAGGATCAGGAGGTGGGGACCATTCAGGACCGTCTAAAGATGCCTAACCCAGCTGAAAAAGAAACCCACCATTTTTGAGGGGTGGATGGCGGACAATCAGATAGTAAAGAACACAGAGTAGAGGTGAAAAAGGAAACATGCGAAAGAGCACAGGGGAGGGGATTCAAGTCACAGGGGGCTGACAATTTCAAAGCTCCCAGGAGGTCAAGTTGAGCAGGATAGAAAAGAAACTATGGAATCTGTCCATTGCAGGAAGACATTGATAATGGATGCCTGAGCCATTATTTTTGTTTGTTTGGTTTGGGTTTGTGTTTTTGGTTTTTGTCTTTTTGTTTTTGGTGGGGTGTTGTTGTTGTTGTTGTTGTTTTGTTTTTTGTAATAGAGCCTCTGTCTTGCCCAGGCTAGAGCACAGTGACAGAATCTCAGCTCATGGCAACTTCTGCCCCCCGGGTTCAAGCAATTCTCATACCTCAGCCTCTTGAGTAGCTGGGATGACAGGCATGTGCCACCACTCCCAGCTAATTTTTGCATTTTTGTAGAGACGGGGTTTCACAATATTGGCAAGGCTGGTCTCGAACTCCTGGCCTCAAGTGATCCGCCTACCTCGGCCTCCCAAAGTGCTGGGATTATAGGCATAAGCCACCATGCCTGGCCTGCCTGAGCCATTTTAAGGGATTGATCGAGGGTACAGCCATAGACACAGGTCCTTGTCACTCACTGACCAGCAGGGTCACTGCCTTTGCAGGAGATGACAGGGAAGAACCAGGAAGCACCTCCTCTCCCAGCCTGGGGCTTCCCACCGTCTCCTGACACCTCCACCAGAAAAGCGACCTCATTTCTCAAAGACAAAACAGATTCTAGGTCATATCCCCCTGGAATGAGAGACCAATTGATGTGATTATCTCCAAGAGAAAGAGGGGCACCTACTAAAAGTAGAATCTGGTGTCCCAGAAGGGAAGACATCGGGGAACCTAAAAAGGGGTCTCTGATAATTACCTAACAAGATTTCACAGCGAAGGGCATCTCCATGTAATGCCAAAAACAAAAAAAAAAAAGAGAAAAGAAAGAAAAAGAAAAAAGGCTAGAAGTTTTAGAAGGTTCTCCTTCTTCATCCATTCTGCAATTTCACTCAATTTCACCCAAAAGCAGAATTCTGCTCCCTACATTGCATGAATCAGTATATTGAACAGGTGGCCCCAGCAAGGATGGGTGCAAAAACGAATTTCTGTAAAGTGTTCTTTATTATAAAAATCAAGAGAGCTGCCAGGTGCAGTGGTTCGTGCCTGTAATCCTAGCACTTTGGGAGGCCAAGGCAGGCGGATGGCCTGAGCTCAGGAGTTTGAGACCAACCTGGGCAGCACGGTGAAACTCCATCTCTACTAAAATACGAAAAATTAGCTGGGCATGGTGGCGCCCAGCTACTCAGGAAGCTGAGGCAGGAGAATTGCTTGAACCCAGCAGGAGGAGGTTGCAGTGAGCCAAGATCACGCCACTGCACTCCAGCCTGAGCAACAGAGCGAGACTCTGTCTCAAAAAAATAATAATAATACATAAATAAAATAAATAAAAATCAGAGAGCTAATTTCACAAAGAAATATAACTCCTTATTGGCCTGAGTTAGAAGTATTTGGGCTTCAGCATATTGGAAGGAGGGAAATATGTATAACTATAATTGTGTACATGCACACACACACGCACACACACGGAGGCATGGTGGGGGAATGAATGTGGAAATGGTTAGAGTGAAATCAAGAACAAGTTCAGAATAGGTATCTCTGGATAGTACAATAAAAAATAAGGCTGGCCACAGTGGCTCGTGGCCATAATCCCAGCACTTTGAGAGGGCGAGGCAGGAGGATGGCTTGAAGTCAGGAGTTCAAGACCCAGCCTGGGCAACATAGCAAAAGCTCATCTCTACCAAAAAAAAAAAAAAAATTAATCAGGTGTGATGACATGCACCTGTAGTTCCAGCTACTCAGGAGGCTGAGGCAAGAGGATCTCTTGAGAGCAGGAGTTGGAGACTTTAGTGAGCCAAGATTGTGCCACTTCATTTCAGCCTGGGTGACAGAGTGAGACTCTGTCTCCAGAAAAAAAAAGAAAAGATTCTTATTCATTTCATTATGTTTTCCCATATTTTATACATTTTATACAATGTGCATACATTGCTTTCACAGCTTATTTGTTAGTTTAAGAAAGGTATTTAGGCTTGAAGAGTAGTGAAAAATTTTCCCAGTCCTCGGGCTTATATACATAATGTTTCTGTAGGATTTTTTGAACATCATTGTTTCTGTTCAGACCCACATAAGTGAATCACCTGGAAACTGAGAGCTAATCCCAGCCCGGCAATGAATGGTTCCTTCCAGACAGGCCAGGCACAGTTGCTCACACCTGAAACCCCAGAGCTTTGGCAGGCCAAGGCAGGAGGATTGTCTGAGCCCAGGTGTTTAAGACTAGCCTGGGCAACGTAGCAAGATCTTGTCTCTACAAAACATTTTTTCAATTAGCCAGGCATGGTAGCACATGCCTGTAGTACCAGCTACCCAGGAGGCTGAGGCAGGAGGATTATTTAAGCCCAGGAGTTCAAGGTTGCAGTGAGCCATGATGGTGCCACCGTACTCTACCCTGGATAACAAAGCAAGACCCTGTCAGAAAAAAGGAAAAAAAAAGAAAGAAAGAAAAAAAGCAGAGCACGGTGACTCATGCCTATAATCCCAGCACTTTGGGAGGTTGAGTTGGGCGGATCATCTGAGGTCAGGAGTTCGAGAACAGCCTGGCCAACATGGTGAAACCCCATCTCTACTAAAAATACAAAAAATTAGCAGAACGTGGTGGTGGGCGCCTGTAATCCCAGCTACTCAGAAGGCTGAGGCAGGAGAATCACTTGAACCCAGGAGGCAGAGGTTGCAGTGAGCCGAGATCACACCACTGCACTCCAGCCTAGGCAACAAGAGTGAAACTCCATCTCAAAAAAATAAAAATAAGAAACAAAAAAGCAGATAACTCACCTGTTCTTCAAATACACATCAGGCTAGAGAAGTGTCCAAAATGGGTCATGAAAGCCAGGAGCTAGCAGTGAGGTTTTGGAAGTTGATATAGAGAACGGAAGCTGGGGTTGGGAGATGGAAATGAGAAGTTGGCCCGATTAAGCAATGGTCTGCACCAATTTCAATGCTTAGATAATAGTATCATATACTAGCAGCACGTTGGTGTCAGTGTGTTGGACTAATAAAAAGCCAGAATGTAACAGTCTGCACGCACTTCCATAGCCCTAACGCATTTCACCAGAGAGCCACGTGGAAGCCAAAATCCTCACATGTAGATCTGGCATGAGAAAGCTTCCTAAGTGTGTCTCAGGTAGCTTGGTACAAGTTCTGCCCAATAGAGGTGCTTCATACACCAGGCAGCAAGCCTACCCAGATGAGATCCCCTGGTTGGGAAGGTGGAAGTACTTCACGAACAAAGCAAAGGTAGATGGCTGTGTGCAGAAGGGCATCTCACGTGAGGTGTCTCCCAGGTTCTTTGTGAAACCCTCTCTGGACCGCTTCTGGTTTTGAAATAGCTCATTCGTGGGTTCATTCCATTAATAAAAGTAAAAAGTAAACACTTACATAATGCTTACTAGGTGTCAGCCGAGGGGCTAAGCACTTCATTCATATCAGCTCATTGTCTCCATGGCACAATCCTATTATCTGAGTTGACAGATGGGGCAACGCAGGCACAGAGATGTTAAGTGAATTGCTTGAGGTCACGTGAACAGTAAGTGGCAGAATCATAATTTGAATCCTAGCTCATCTGGATCCAGAATACAGACCATAATACTCTCCTGATGCTCATGAAAATTTGTTGAACCAGATACCACTGGTCCAAGCAGCAAATGACTGTGCTAACCCCATATTCCCAAGCCTCCATCACCAAATGTTATCTGGCCCCATCTCTTAGTGGCCCTAAAGAACATAATGGTGGGTCTCCAGCATGGCTGGTGTGGGAGTCGCTGGTTGCCCATCTTATTCCCCCCGCCCCATTACTGAGTGATCCCTTAGTTACAAACCCAGGGTCATTCATTCTTTCTTGACGGTCTCACCTCTCATTCACTTAATATGAAAATATTTGGACAGGCACGGTGGCTCATGCCTGTAATCCCAGCACACTGGTAGGCCGAGGCAGGAGAATTGCTTAAGCTCAGGAGTTCAAGACCAGTCAGGGAAACATAGCAAGACTCTGTCTCTAC